CGTCCCTAGCACGCCATAGTTCCAGATGCAGCAATGCATGTGACACGAACACAAGGAGGACACACATGTAAGTCCTACTTAGCACTTGTGCATCTGGCCTGCATACAACAGGAAACTGGATAATTTTTTTCCCCCCTTTGGATGAGGCATAGCCAGCTGATTAATGATGTGAGGGAGAGTGGGCTAAGAAGGGGAGTTCTACAAATGTTTCTTTTAGGAGAGCCGTAGCAGGCGCGGGGAAAGAAAGGTGTGCATTGTAAGGGGGTGGTAGGCAGTATTTGGCTAATTAGGGTTCAGTTAATGCTGGTGAGTGTCGAACATTCTTGCTAATGGCTGTTACTAATGGGAGAAATGGGATCATTTGTTAACTTTACTTAGGAAAGTGAGTGTTGAAGGCAGGATGGAGGAAAAAAGAGGTGAACATGGACCATTTTGGCTAAGCTGAATGAAAGGTGGAAAAAATGCCTCATGATTTTTTTAAAAAGAGCAAGACCCAATTTGACACTGGCCTTTATGAGAAAGTGGTCGCCCCTTTGTATTTCTCCTGCCTGACTTTTAAGCCCTTTGGCCATCTTCCAACTAACCTTTCCCCCTGTGCAACATGCAGACTTTTTTGAATGAAAATTGCCTTGGAGATATGTGGTATTAAAAACTTACTGTAAATTGTGCTATGTCCTTTTAGTTGCATGATTTTATTCAAGTTTTACAACAAAATTGTTCAATGTGTAGTATATTTAATTCCTAGTTTACAGATGGGAGGATTAAAGCTCAGAGCCCTTGTCTACACAGAAATTAATTGGCACTGCTATTTTCAAGGCCTTATATTTTATAGACCTTTATTACCTTTAAGACTCACCCCAGAACTTTTTCCAAAAATTATTTCCTAAGTCACAAGCGTCTTCTTTTATTTTATTTTCTAATCCATCAAACACATTCACTCTAGGGTCCCACACACACAGCTCTCTGGCGCTCTGAATCCGCAGTAACGGCTGAGTCATGTGGGTAATCAAAATGGACCAACTCGAGAAATATGAACTTCCACACAACTGTTCTTCACTGGTGAATTCTGAATGGCATACTCTCCCCTCTGGATAGTCTTCCCAGATTTTGTACTTTGCCACCTTGACCTCCATAAGCAGAATGCTGACATAAATGCCACTGGGCAGAGCCTAGGTACATGCACATCAGCCTCCAGTCAACATTTTGGACAAGGAATTGCCACTTATCAGCTTTTGGCAAGAGTATTTGCATGTACACCAGGTCCCACAAATTCCAATATTCCTCTTAACACCGCCAAGGGAATGGGTATATTCCTCTTAGTAACCATGGCAAGCATCAAAAATAGTTTTCAAAATGGATGGAGAGTGCTCACTTCGATGTACCCATGTTTGTGGTATTCCAAAATGCCTTTTAAGTTCCTTTTATGGAACTCCTTTTTTTAAAAAAATTATCCACAACCAGAACCGACAAAGATAATTTCATTATCAAAACCAATTTTGGGTGACTTGGAAAGGCTGCACGAAAAGGTCACAATTGTGTTGCATCTTGACTTTATTACCGAGGTTGAACTCAAGGAGAGAAGAGTCAAAGCCAAACAAAAAATACGCTGCTGTGATGGTTAATTTTATGTGTCAACTGGGCTATGCGAAGGGATGCCCAGATGGCTGGTAACAGTTTATTCCTGTGTGTGTCTATGAGGGTGCTTCTGGAAGAGATTAGCATTTGAATCAGTAAACTAAATAAAGAAGGTTGCTCTCACCAGTGTGGGCAGGCATCATCCAATCTCTTGAGGATCCAAATAGAACAAACAAGTTGGAGGGAGGGAAAACTCTCTCTCTTCTTGAAGAGACATTCTTCTTCTCCTCCTGCCCTGGAACATCAGAGCTCCTGGCACATGGGCCTTCAGACTCCAGGACTTAAACCAACATCCCCTCAGGTTCTCAGGCCTTTGACCTTCAGACTGGGACTTATACCATCATCCCGGCTGGTTTTCTGGACTTCAGACTCAGACTGAATTACATTATTAACTTTCCTGGTTCTCCAGCTTGTAGATGACATACTGTGAGATTTCTCACCCTTCATAATCACATTAACCAATTCCCATAATAAATCTTTTTTTATATGCCTATATATCTACATACCTATATATAAATCCAGATAGATAGGTAGGTAGGTAGGTAGGTAGGTAGATAGATATTTTATTGGTTCTGTTTCTCTGGAGAACCTTGACTAATTAAGTCGCCTGCATGTATGTGAAATTTTCCATGCTCAATAACGAAGTTAAGAATTAGAAAATAATTTTAAAAAACACGTAAGGAAATCTGAAAAAAACATACAAATCATTCTTTAATGTCACTCATATCATTTCGAATGAAATAATTAGTTATATATTTATATCTCAATACATAAAATAATTCAAAATAGTCATTAGTCTCATATTCTATCCTAGGTCGTGTGTGATGGGAGAAGACCAATAACCAAAGAACTTATTGAGCATATAAATGCTGAATTACATGGAAGAGACCAAAAGCAAAAGATGATTGTGGGTGTAGGCTGGAAGGACCAGTCAGAAATGTCAGAAATCAAATGCTCTTTCAAGCCCTCATCTCTGTAAAACCTTCCTGTTCTAATTTGTAGAACTTGAATCTCAGAGCTCTCCAGCTTTTGTTCCCAAATGCTGCTCGAGTGCCTGCCCTCTTGCTCTGTCATAACACTATGGAAAGAATCATTAAACTGACACTTGATTGGTTATAGAAGCACACAAATAATAAGTAATTTTAAAATTCTGTTCCTAGATTGCAATAGAGGTTAAATTAAAGATTTTTCTCTTTGAACTCTATAGTATAGCTGTGGCAAAAATATGAATAAAAGTAATAGCTAACATTGATTAAAGACTTATGCATGCCAACCACTGCCTTAAGTACTTCATACTATTTCAATTGTCACAGCTATCATTTGATGTTGAGACCATGATTATCTCCATCCTATGAGGAAATTGAGACTTATGAGAATTAAACAACCTGCTGAGGATCGAGGTGAGACATGGGACGTGAAAGGATTGAAACCCAGGCAGGGTAACCTGGAGCCTGCATGTTTCACTCTCTAGAAAACCCCTTAGAGGACTTTGATTGAGGCTGCCTAAAGCCTCTCCTGATATCCAAACTAAGCTTCAACTCCAATGAAGACAGGCCAGAAATCTATCTCAATCCATGATCATGTGACCAACTCAGGTTGGCATGGAACTTGGGTGAAGATAAAATCAGAACTAGAAGAGTATTATTGGAGCCTATAAACCCAGGCTGGGGGCTGGATTTTACATATGCTTCTCTGCGTGTACACAAGAGGGACATATGTGTGCTTAACTGTTTAAGCAGGACAGACAGTGTAAGTATCATTCTACCACACTGTCTGGCCAGAGGGAACATGCTTTGACCTTGTGAAGCAAAAATGGTCTTGCTGTGAAACACCAAACACTAAAGCTAAACTGAAGTCTAACCACCATATCTAGAACAAATTCTCAGCTGGCAAAAATCGTCTCTATATTCGCAGAAAGTTCTCCAAACTCTGTCAGGATGAACAATAATAAATGATTGGGTCCACAAATGGGTTTGTCATTAATTTTGACAGTACCAGAAAATATACAGACATATATGGGATTGATGTGCTGAGTGATATAGTAATGCTAAAAGATATTTAAAAAGGAAGTAGTAATATTAATATTGCTACACATTAAATATTTGGATGTTTAAGCCGAAACCGGTTTGGCTCAGTGGATAGAGCGTCGGCCTGCGGACTGAAAGGTCCCAGGTTCGATTCTGGTCAAGGGCATGTACCTGGGTTGTGGGCACATCTCCAGTGGGGAGTGTGCAGGAGGTAGCTGATCAATGTTTCTCACTCATCGATGTTTCTAACTCTCTCTCTCTCTCCCTTCCTCTCTGTAAAAAATCAATAAAATATATTTAAAAAAAATTTTTTTAAAAAAATATTTGGATGTTTAAGTATCAATTTCTAAAGACCCAGACAATGATTATGAGTGGATGTACTCAAATATGAATAAACAATATTTAATAGTCATGTATTCACAGTCAGTTTGTTACTATGGAGTCACATGTGATGTCATAAATTTGACATTCTATGCATGCCTAGACTGAGCAACAGAAAATGGCGCTGGGGAGATGAACACCTGCATAACAGCAAAATAATTTCAATAGTTAAAGAAATGAGTCAAACATCTCTGAAACAGAAAAAGAAGGTGAGCGAATTAAACATCCTAGAGTCCTGCCAAAGAGTCAAGGAAAGTTAGATATCCATCCATCATTGACCTCTGGGGCTTCTCTGAAATTATGGAATTATTTCAGATGAAATTATCAAATTATTTCCCTCCTACGTGGAGGGAAAATGGAGGGAAAAGTAAATGATAAAAGGGGAGAAAAAGGAGATTAAAGTATAAAGTATAAGTCAATCCGATAAATCAGCACTTAGGGAGTATATGCTCATGTTAGTTGTAAGAGGTGAAAACACAGTTGCTGACCCCTGTACGATTCTCCCACAGAATAGCCCATACGACAATTTTTAAAAAAATATTTTTAATGACTTCAGAGAGGAAGGGAGAGGGAGAGAGAGAGCTAGAAACATCAATGCTGAGAATCATTGATTGGCTGCCTCCTGCATGCCCCCTACTGTGGATGGAGCCCAAAACCCACGCACTTGTGCTTGACTGGAATTGATTCTGGCACCCTTTGGTTGGCAGGCTGACACTCTATCCACTGAGCCAAACCAGCTCGGGCCCATATTACAATTTTTAAATGATAAATGCCTTATGCCTTGAACCTATAAACCACTGAATTTCTACCTTAAAAATGATACAGTTCTTTGAATTGTTTTTACTCATGCTTAGCAGAACAGAGCAAATATATATATATATATATATAAAGATTTGATTAGCAAAGAGATGAATGCTAATTTTAATTTATCCTTTGTCCCTAAGCCCCAGGTTTCTAATGCCCTTGAGATTAAAATTAATAAACATTCTTTGTTTCTATATTAAGAATGAATCTGCAACGAAATACTCAAAAGAGAGTCTAGAAACAGAGAAAAGACGGGAATCTGAAAAATCAATTCGTCTCAGCACTCCGGTGAGCTGACATTTTTTATAGTTGATAAGAGAATAAAAAAGCAGAAAGCATAATAGAAATATTCGGGGTAAGGGAGTTCTGAGAGACTGAGCTATTGGGGTTTGTTTTAGGGATTATCTAATGTCCCTCATGGAGAGGTTAAGGTAAAGCTAGGAGAAGCTGGTCCCTGCCTTCCCTACAGTACACATCCCCATGTTCCCACAGAAAAATATGGTGTAGAAACCACAGCCGTCTCCTCTGCTCAGCCTTTGGGAGGAGACTGGTCTTTGTTCAAATCAGGGAGGGCAGGGGAGTCTGGCCATCACATTGACTATTTTCTGCACAATCTTTCAGATGAGGCATGCAATCAATCCGCATCACTGGCTGAGATGTTGCCCCATGCGTCCTCATCTGTCGTGTAGACACTGCCTTAGGGCAGCTGAGGGAACAGTCCTTCTTGGCCCCTGCCGCACAATGCGTATTTATATTCACATGTGCCTGTTTTGGAAACAGGGCCAGCAGGTCACCATGAGCAGGGTGAGCAGAGATCAAACTACTGATTTTGTAGGGGAGCCACAGTCAGTCTGGGTGAGGGGAAGGAAATGGGACATAGAAACTCTTCCCCTTGCCTCTCCATGGTCTCCTTCAGTGTTGTTCTGCTCAGAGGGAATGCTAGAGTGCTCTATTCCCTCTTACACTGTGGAGCCCCATCACAGCCTTGGTTAGGAACCATCTGCCCTCATCTTTGTAGTCTGGTCAAAAATGGGGACATGTCTTTTTAGCATCTGTTCATGGGCTTATTCTTAAGGGAAGCTGTGGGGAAAGGGAGAAAAAATGGTCAACTCCACGAATGACCATTGAAGAGTGACAGGTGAAAAAAGATGAGATGTCAGATTTGTGTCTTGCTTTTGGATGCTCTTCCAGATACAGCTCCACTTTATTGGTCCTCAGTGAAGTGAGGACTGGGCCAGATTGAATTAAGGGTCATAGTGGCCAGCGATCTTCTCAATGGGGTTTGCTATGTTTAGCTGGACATGGCTATTCTGTAGGCACAAGCCTGGGAGGATTGGGTGGTGGCATATTACAGCCCTGGATCTCTTCTCTCCTCAAAAGGGATCACAAGAAGCATTGCAAAAGACAGAGTCTCGAGGGTACATCGTGCGAAGCCAGTGGTCTGGAAGTTCACGGAACCCATCCTCCAGAGTCCCATCAGCAGAGGAAGCCAGAAGCAAGACCACCAGTCTTAAGGTAGAGATAGGGATGAAGGATGGAGCGCATGATAGCATAATAGTAACAACAGTAACGATAATACTGATGATGATGGTGGCTAAAAACTGTTGATGTTTTCTATGTGCCAGCCCCTGTTCTATGTACTTCACACTCCCCTGCCCCCCAAAGCCCTATTTTACAGCTGAAAACACACACACACACACACACACACACACAGAACAACTTGCCTAAGATTTCACATTAATAATGCTAACAGAGCTGGATTAAAACCCAAGGTCACTATATGTTTAATCGTTTACACTGAAATGATTCCACTCTAGGTTTCTCCCTTCCTACCTTTCTTCCTTCCACGAAATTGTTGAGTACTCACGAGTAAGAACAAAGGTTGGAAAGGTCAACAATGAAGATAAGTTGTTGAAGAGTCTTCGATTGTGTAGTGCTTTGGGCCCTCACGTAAGCCTGGCCACATAAGAAGAAAAAGTTAATTTTGAGATTAAGTCCTTGGTTGTAGAGAGAGGGTGGCATAGATCCAGCCACTGGGAAAACTTGACTTCCCATCAATCCATCTAGCTCTGTGCGGACCGGCTCAATAATCTAACCAAGAAAACGCCTTTCAAAATATGTGAAACCTTCATAAAAACAGGAATAATGTATGGATGCTTAACGATTCATTGCACATCTTAGTAAAGGAGTGCTGTCTCTAGAATGGTTCCTTCCTACTTTGGAAGGGTATTCTCTCCTGAGCTCCGCAGACACACACAGCCCTGCAGGCAAAAGGGAGACACTGGGCTACCCAGCCTGGCAGCCCTCCAGCAATCACTGCCTTAGTCACTGGGCAAATGTACAAAGAGATGTCTCCAAGGTGCTCTGTAGAGTCTTTGCGGGGGGCGGGGTGGGGGGACATCTGGTCTAGGTGCTCATGGGGTTAACTAGAGCTCACAGATGGAGGCAGTGGCAAGCAAGACCCCTTACTCAGGCTTGCCTAGAAGTCTCTGACTGGGCAGGTATACATACAGAAGTCCAATGACAGAAATTTGCAAAGGGTGTGCCATCTGCTGAGGGTCAGAAAGAGAGCCTGTGCCCCAGCTACTAAAAAATAAATAAAAAGAGTGATGGGGGAATGGGGTCAATGAAAGCTGACTGTGTCCGTATCCATTTAACAGAAACGACTAATATCTGGAGCCTTGAAATGGCTAAGCCCCTTGAAGCCCCACTTAAAAGAGCTGGGGTGAACCAGGAGCCAGTGAAAGGCTAGGGAAGGACCAGGGGCCAGAGGACAGCTTCTTGCCTCCTGCTGGATTGGGGGGAAGGGGTCCCAGACGCATGTGGAACTCAGACGCCCATTCTCTTGCTCCAGGGCCCCACAAGCTCCACAACCTCCCGGACTTCCTCCACTGCCTCCCACAGCCAGCAAGAGTCCCAGCACGAACTGTCCCAGCACGAGCTGTCCGGGCTCCCCTCCCCGCCCACGACGCCCGTGCTGCGCGCGTCACCTGCGCCTGTGGACTCCTGCCCCCCCACGCCCCCGGAGCCCGAGCCCCAGCCCCAGCCCCCATCCCTTCCCCAGCCCCAGTCCCTGCCTCAGTCTCTGCCCTCACCCATGCGCAGCATCAAGATGCATGAGCACCATGACCACTGGGGGCACAGCCTGATTCGGGATCGGGATCGGGATCGGGATCGGGATCGGGATCGGGATCGGGATCGAGATCGGGATTCCCGGGATTCCCGGGACTCGCTGCATCGGGATTGTCCACGCACGCCCCCCTTGGAGTGGAAGCCCTATTCTCAGCGCAGGTCCTACAGCTCCCAGGACCGCGACTACATAGTTGACCTGGGCCGGCAGCGGGAGGAGGATAATGAGGACGAGGAGGCCTACTGGTCATCAGTGAGGACACTGTATGAGAAGAACCCGGGCTGCTCACGCCCCCGGCCGGTGAGCAGAGCCTGCAGACCCTGGTACCCTGGGCGCCCCTCTGCGCAGCCCGAGCCCACGCCCCTCCCAGCATCTCTCCTCTCCAAGCTGGAGGGAAGTCCAAGTGCATCCCAAGCCCCCCTCCTGCAGCCTCAGTGGTGGTGGTGATGGGGTAGGGAGTAGGGGGTGGGAGGTGGCGGGTGGGGGGAGGGGGGGGTCCAGGCCTTAGCTGTGTCCAGCATCCCAGGGACCCAATCAAGGTCCCATCTGTTTTCTTCCCCCCCCCCCCCTTCCCTGCCCTGGGATGAGTCCTATTCCTGACCCCTTCCCGTCTGTGTGACTGCCGCCCCCCCCCCCCCTCCCCGCGCACTGGCACCTCTGTCTGCAGGCCAAACCCAAGCACGCCCTCACCATCGCGGTGTCGTCCCGGGCTCTGTTCAACATGGTGGACGGCAGGAAAGTCTACGAGGAGGAGGGTCTGGAAAAGTACATGGAGTACCAGCTCTGCAACGAGAACGTCATCCTGACCCCCGGGCCCGCCTTCCGCTTCGTCAAGGTACCAGGAGGACCCAGGCCGGCCTGGGGATCTCCCCCAGGTTCCCTCACAATCCCTGACCCACTTTGTTGTTCTTGCCCCTGGAGTTGACCCCAGTCCGGTTTCTGCGTTCACAGAGGCTCCCAGACCATTGAGGTTCACAGAGGCTCCCAGACCATTGAGGGAGGCTCGGCCCCAGAACTGAGATGCTGCGCTTTCCTAAGTAGAGTCCTAATCAGGAGACCTGTTTCCTCCTCGGAAGGAGCGGTAGCCAGAAAAAATGATGAATTTATAATTCCAAGCACTGGTAGAATAAAACGCCTCCTTAAAATGAGTTGAAATTCACTCTTGCTGCTTTTGCCCCAAACCTAGCATATTTTTAAAAAATCAAGATGTTCTTGGCACTTAGGGGCATGATTTTAATGAAGTAAAGTTATCTACATTTATACAGAAATGTATAGCACTTAACTGTGATCCCTATATAACTTCAACAAATATTACACAGTAGCATCATAACCAGGCAGAAACAAGCTGTAAGTAGAAAGTATGTATGGGGCATGGGAGGAAACCACACACCTATTCTGAAGACTCCTGCTAAAAAGAGAGAAAGTGCCGAAACCGGTTTGGCTCAGTGGATAGAGCGTCGGCCTGCGGACTGAAAGGTCCCAGGTTCGATTCCGGTCAAGGGCATGTACCTGGGTTGCGGGCATATCCCCGGTAGGAGATGTGCAGGAGGCAGCTGATCGATGTTTCTCTCTCATCGATGTTTCTAACTCTCTCTCTCTCTCCCTTCCTCTCTGTAAAAAATCAATAAAATATATTTAAAAAAAAAAAAGAGAGAAAGTGGTCTTTGGCAACACATACACTACAATTGGAACAATACACACCATTAACATGGCCCCTGTGCAAGGTTAACTATGCAAATTCATGAAGTATTCTATATTTTTCACAATAAAAGAATAATCATCAACCCAAGTGCCCATAAATAGTCAATTAGATAAAGTAGATGTGGTACATATATACCATGGAATTTTACTTGGCTATAAAAAAAAATGAAATCTTACCATTTGCAACAACATGGATGAACTATAAAGTATCATGCTAAGTGAAATAAGTCAGACAAAAAAAGACAAATGCTATGATTTCACTTACATGTGCAATCTAAAGAACAAAATAAATGAATAAAACAAAACACATAGAAACAGACACATAGATACAGAGAACAAATTAAGGGTTGCTAGAGGGGACGGGCATGGGGGGGGCTGGGTAAAAAAGGGATTAAGAAGTATGAATTGGTAATTACAGAATATTCACGGAGATGGAAGTACAGCATAGGGAATGTAGTCGTTAATATTGTAATACATATGTCTGGTGCCGAGAAGGTACTAGAATTATGGGGGGGATCACTTCTGAAATTATATAATTGTCTGACCACTGTGCTGGTATAAAATGATACTGAATGTGAATTATAATTGAAAAGTAATAAAATAATGATCAGATGATCAAGAAAGGCAGCCTTTACAAAACAAAAATAAAGTTATAAAAGGGCTAGCCTAATCCTTCTCTTTGCCTACCCCACAGAGATAATGCTAGTAGACCAAATGTAACAATTTCAACAAATACCTATAGATTCCCTAATCATTAACTGAAGCCCTATGTGTGAGAGGCATGAAGTACAGAAATGAATGACATCACCTCACCTACAAGGAGCCCCAACTCTCAGTGAAGTGTCTTCAAAGCTTGAATTTGACATTGATAAGATCCCTTCTCTCCAGACTCCCAGTGCCCACCTTGCCTGGCCCTCTTATACACACACGCTCATGTTTGTAACCTACAGGCCCTGCAGCATGTCAATGCTAGACTCCGTGATCTGTATCCCGAAGAACACGAATTATTTGATATTGTACTGATGACTAATAACCATGCCCAAGTGGGAGTGCGGCTTATAAACAGCGTCAATCACTATGGTAAGTAAAATAAATACCATGTGGAAGCACGGCTCGCTGCTCTGGAAGAGGGAGGCCATGTGATTTTGCTAACTGTGGCCTAACTAATGCAGTGTCTTTGATACTGACACCCCCTTCTGCGTGAGGAATGTTTATTTGCCTATGTCAGAACAAGAGAGGCCATGTTCATTTTTAACTTCAGCACAGAGTTGGGCCCAAAGCTCTGGACTTAACTTGTCAAGTGTGAATTTCAAAGTCTTAATCCCAGGTCCTGCGATGCATTTCTGTTTTATGTTCTTCACTTCTGAACCTGACTTCAAGGAGCCGTCACCCCAGAGGCTTTCACTGTGTGATCAAACTTCTTGCTCACCGCAGATACATGTGAAAGGTTTAAAGGTTCTCACCTTGCCTTTCCACTCTTAAACTCTGATTTTCGCTGGCTGTTCTCCCCACACATCAAACGTCTCTTCAGAGTATTTCCATCAGTGTGCTGGGGACTTTAAAAGTCCCCTTCTTCCTGCTATGGAATTACCTGACTTCTTATTTGGGGACTTTAGCCTATTTTCTAAATGACATCAGTTTTATGGGGATGGCAAGCCAAAATAAGGTATAAATTTGGCATATTTAAATGCTTGGTTGAAATTGGGCATATGTATAAATAATCAAGATATATTACAAGTTATAAATTGTATTAACCTAACTACATACTTTAAAAAATGTTTGCCTTTCGAAAATGCAGCTTTCATCGTGTAAGGACATGAAAATAACGTATGTAAAAGGTTTAGCATAGAGGACTGGCATAGATTAGTTACTCAATAAAGTGCAGCTATTAGATGACTTAGTAGGTGAGTTATGTCTCTCTATCCCTCATCACACTGAGCCCACAAAAGTAGTAGCATAAAAAAAGCATCGTTATTCACTGATTAAATCTGCAAAGTAACTGATTGAGCCCAATCTTCTCATGCAGCCTTGTTCATGGAATAACAACCTGTCACCTGGAAAAAGAGTTAGTCACTTGCCTTCTACGAGTGCTGAACACATTGTTTGCAGGTAGTTTTTATCGCGCGCTAACAGGTGGCGCGGGCCATTTTTGCTAATTTTTTGCGCAAATGGCAACGTTCAGTAAAATTACGATAACTTTAGTTTACGTATTTATATGTTACCCGCATTCTACCGCTAGTCTATAAAAAACGTATTAATACGTGTCCTGCGCTCTACTACACTGGTAGAACATATAAATACGTAAAACATATAAATACGTAAAACATATAAATACGTTTCCCGCATGCAATATGTGAAGGCAATTTGTATACCTCTCTGCTATGGTCTTTGTTATTTTATAATTATCTGTTTACAAGCCTGGCTCCTCAGTGTACTGTCTCTTTGAAATAAGGAACCATGTTCTAGGCATTTCTAAAGCTCCAGTGCCACCACATAATTTCTGTTCATTAAATCAATATAATTAAGGATTTGTAGGGTACAGTTTTGTGCCATGTTTGCCCAGTGCTGGCTTACGTGGAAAAGTGAGAGCATTTTGTTAATTCCACAACAAACACTTGCACTCAACTGTTGAAGGACTCTAACTATTCTCTAGGTCCATATAGGTGTTATACTCAAAATACTGCTTTTTGTTATATGCAGCTGCCCAGTGTATCACCTATCTACAAACACTCTGAATGGGTAAATATCTTGTATGCATGTCACGCTTTACTTAATTATTCACACATTATTTAACCATGTTTTGCTTTTTTAAATAATCCTGCACCAAAACATTTCTACATAAATCTTTATCAGAGTTTCAGATTATTCCCTTAAAATTAAGTCCCCCAAAATGCAATCTTAGGTCAAATTGAATAAACCTATTAGAAGTGCTTGATATATTTTGTCAAATTACTTTTTAGATAGCTTGTACCAATGTATACTCTCATCCATAGTGAATTTGGATGCTTATTTTACAAACCTCTCACCAACATCTAGTACTTTTTTTAATTGTTGTTGATTTAAAAGACATTTGGTGGTATATTAGTGTTTAGTCTGTTATTAATTCCATTTAAACTTCCAAGTCAGGAAATAGAGACAATTTCAAACCTTTTGTTGATGTTTTTAAAAAAATGTTCAATTCCCAGCACAACTTTTTATTACTATTGTATTGTTACTGAAGAAAGGTAGAAACAGTACTTAAAATAGAATCACACTTTAACTGGCCCTTACAACAAGTCAGGGGGCTGCAGTTGAAAGACAAGAGTCAACAGGAACCAGTGGGTTTAGACAAGCTTTTAGGTTTTGGTGTCCTTTTCTGTAATGAAGGTAATAATGCCTGCCAGTTATTGTGAAACTAAATTGGCAAGGTCAATGTGGATGGACTTCATAAATTTTTATGCATCAAACACATCAACTATTATATAAAACTAGTGGTCTGGTGCACAAAATTCGTGCACATTAAAAGGGAATTAATTAGAAGAAATATTTTAATATTTCTATTTGCTCTTTCTTTATAATAGAAATGTCAGAGGTGAAAGGAAATTAGTAAAATGTATATGAAAATCTTCCTCCTGTCAGAGTCTGGGGCGTGCCGTGGGACCCAGAGTCAAGTCCCTGCCCACCTGTCCATGCCTCGAAATCACATGAGACCCAGACCTGGCTGGCCCCACCCCCATTGGATGAGATCCAGACCAGGCTGGCCCCATCCTCCTCAAGCCCTGCTGGGCAAGGGGCACAGCCTCAGGTCCCCCATCAAGCCCCACTGGGTGGAGGTTGCAGCCTTAGGTCCCCCGGCACACCCTCAGGTCCCCCAGCCCAGTGCCAGGGTGGGGGGGCACAGCCCGAAATCCCCCGTTAAGCCCCACTGGGCAGGGGGGTACAGCCTCACGTCCCCCACCCCAGCCTGGCGCCACACAGTCTCAGGTCCCTGCTGATCGCTCATTATGGCTAGTTATGTGAACCCTGCCTCCGCTGTGGGTGCAGCCACCTTGTGTTATGGGAACCCTGCCTCTGCTGTGGGTGTAGCCATCTTGTGATGTAGTGAGGGAGTGAGGGTCAATTTGCATATTACATCTTTATTATATAGGATGCTGGTGCTAAGAAGGTAATTTTCATTTTCCCATATTGGTACTCAGAAGGAAATTCTAAAACCTCATTGGGCACTCACTTATTCCTAAGGTAACTCTCACTTGCATTTACAGTAGCTATATTGTCTTTAGACTCTGACATAAGGAAATCTCTCTCGCCCGATAACAGGCTTACTAATTGACCGCTTCTGTCTGACCGGTGGAAAAAGCCCCGTTGGCTATTTGAAGGCATATCTTACCAACTTCTATCTTTCTGCGGACTGTGAAAAAGTACAAGAAGCACTGCAAGAAGGTATAGGCTTGGTTTTATCCCGGCAGTTAACAGAGAGGTTTGTGCTAGTGCTTACTTCCATTGAGCTTCCCATACGACTATGTGGTTTATGCCCTCGTTGGACATAAGATGTTTCTGCAAGTGGCAGCCCTTACGTTCGTCTTTTAGAGCTTGACCTTCCTGGAGGTGGACATCCTCCGTGATCATCTTACATCCATTTTACACTTTTCCATCCCTTATAAAAATGCAGTGCATGGACAACTGTTTCGAGATGTGTGGTTGTGAAGAGGAATTGAGTCATCAGGAAATAATAGCTAGAGAGGAAATGCAAGGTCGGGGAGGGTTTATACTTTTTTTAATGGTAGAAACTAAATCTCATGGCCCTGAGAGTAGTATTAATCCGTCCCCATGGTCTTCTAGGGATCGCCTCTGCAACAATGTTTGATGGAGGGAAAGACACGTCTTACTGTGACTCACAGCTCCGTGTGGCTTTTGATGGAGACTCCATCCTCTTCTCTGATGAGTTGGAATATCCTACCAAGGACGGGCTGGAGAAATTCTTTCAACATGAAACACAATGTGAGACTAAGCCTATTGTTCAGGTGGGTTCAAGGAGCTCTAATTAACTTTGATCCCCCTATTTTCCAATAGATAGCATTATTTGTTCATTGTGATGGCTTTCAGATTACTTTAGGCAGCCACTCCTCAGTTCTGATCCTTTGCCATTTTCTCCCTTTCTTTTGTTAACTCCTATTTTGACTTTTTTTTAACAAAACATTCTTTTATCTAGCCTTTTGGAAATGTTTCTATGATCTTATGATAATGACTTCACCCTCCAAGTTATGAGTAACAGAGGCATTGTGGCTTACCAATAAGCCATTTCTACATAACAGGTTCTCAAAATAGTAAGGTCATTTCCAGTAGGTCAGTAAACATTTGTTGAACCTCTCTCTCCGTAACCTCAAACTCGATAAAGGCATTGCTTAATTGAGAAAATCTGCAAAACTGACAGCTTGAGTTGGATCAAAGAATGAGCCTCAAGTAAGTGCGAACTATGAAAACCTAATCAATCTGAAACTGAACATGAACTTTTTTTGGAACCTATCCATAAACTGAAGTGAAAGTGTTAAAGCCACAGTCTGAAATGAACCAAACTTCTGAACCAAAGGAAATTTGAAGAACTAAAATATTCTCCAAACTGAACTAATGGATCATTCTGTTTTAATCTATGAATCTTACCAAAAAATTTAATTGGCCTCTTTTTCTCAGCTCTTCTTGAAGTGAAGATACAGTTTATTATATTTTATTACATTTATAAAACTGTGAATAGACAAACTGAAAGCTGAAAAGTTTTATTAACTAACCTTACGTTACAGCAAGTGATATTTAAACTGTGTGTGTGTGTGTGTGTGTGTGTGTGTGTGTGTTTAACTTTATAGGCCCTTCCTAAATAGCCACTTTGGAAGACTTGTTCTCATGCTATGAAATTGTTCAGTGTTAAAAAAGTTTACTGTTGCAAGGAAAATCATTTGTGATATTTTATATATATCTGCTTTGCTAAAATTCACAGCCCATTTTATATTATCCATTAACTATTATTGAAATGTGGAAGAGCTCCAAAAAAAAGAACACACACACACACACACACACTTTAAAAAAAAAAAAGAATTACTACAAGATGATCTAAAAATACCATTTTCTCATCCCAGGTAAAGCAAATTTTTTAGATTTTGTATTTATCAGATACATTTTGCATGTTTTAAACCATTTTTCCCATTAAACAATTGAAATTGAGAAAACCAACAAATTTCTATTACTCATACAGGCTTTCACTATGCAGTAGAAAAAAAATACTAATTTTTTGCATAGAAAGGGTAGCTTTTCTATAAAGACCAGGCTTTGCCAGATGTGTTCCACTGATGAGAATGTTATGAGGGCCGATTCCTACCAAAGGCTTTCTAGTATGTTGGTCGTGGGGTTTGGCCATGGCAGTGTCCCAGTTGTCTCAAGTGAAAGAAATCTGAGGGTCCCTGGCAAACGACACAGTTGGGAAGGATTAATCTGGCCACGTTCAGTGTATCATATAAGCCTCCAATGTGGTATCATGACTAGTAATGAATGTCTCCTGATTTGATCTCTACATTGTCTCACCATTCTGACAATCACACCCAGGTGTGTGTGTATGTGTGTGTTTTAATCAGTTTTTCAAGTATAATTTACATACAATAAAATTCATCATTTTTAGTGGGTGGTTTAAGAGATTTGACAAACGCATATAGTATTGAAACCACAATCAAAATACACAACATACAAAATTCCCCGTGCTTCTTTGTAGTCATCCTTAAGTCTCTTATCGCCAACCACTAATCTTATTTCTGTCCCCATAATTTTGCCTTTTCCAGATGTCATATAAATGGAACCATACAGAATACAATCTTTTGAATCTGATTTATTCAGCATAATGCATTTTAGATTCATCCCTGTCATTCCATGTGTCAGTAACTTGTTGCTTTTTACTGCTGAGAAGTATTCCGCTCTATGGATATGCCACATTACGTTTATCCATTAACCTGTAGGAGGATATGTAGGCTGTTTTCAGTTTATTTATAAATACTACCACCCTAAGCATTTACATACAGGGTTCTGTGTAAACAATATATCTCATTTCTCTTGGGTAAATACCTAGGAGTAGGATTACTAGGTCACAGGATAAGTATATGTTAAACTTCAGATGATCTATTTTGAATTAATTTATATGTTTGTGCAAAATATTGGTTAAGGTTCATTTTCACTGCTTATAGGTATCCTAAGTGCTCCAACACTGGCTTTCTGTTCCTTTAATATAGGTATCTATCTTTTACTAATATTGTACTGTCTTGATTATCATAGTTGTATAGTAAGTCTTGAGATCTGGTGGTATGAGTCCTCCAAATACATTATTTTCCAAATATCTTTTGGACATTCTGATATCTTTACATTTGTATACAGATCTAAGAATTAGCTTGTCATTTTTGTGTGTGTGTGTGTGTGTGATTGTGTTGAATTTATATCTTAATCTTGGGAAAATAGTTATCTTAACAACATCAAGTCTTTCTGCAGCCCATTGACATGGTATATCTCTCCGTGTAGTTAGGCCATTTTTTATTTCTTTCATCAGTGTTTTGTAGGTTTCAGCACACAGATATTACACGTTTTGTTAGATTAGGGGGAAGAGACATTCTCTGTTGTCCTAGTTCATCAAATCTAAGGCAGTGCCTATATCTTCCTAGGTCTTAGGAGTAAAGTTATTTCATTGATCATGCCTCTCCCCCAGTGATGAGGCATTTATATGGTGTCCTTTGTGTGATTTTTCTAACTTATGAATTACCTGACTATTATATAATTGTCCCCATGTGATTTTGCTAACTGTGGCCTAACTAATGCAGTGTCTTTGATACTGACACCCCCTTCTGCGTGAGGACTGTTTATTTGCCTATGTCAGAATAAGAGAGGCCATGTTCATTTTTAACTTCAGCACAGAGTTGGCACCTTATTTAAAATTGCCCTTGGAGTTCACCAAACACTAATTTGAAATAATATGTGCACCCCTAAGTTCATTGCAGAGTTATTTTCAATAGCCAAGATATAGAAGCAATGCAAGTGTCCATCAATAGATAAGTGTATAAAAAAGCTGTGGTACCTATATACAATAGAATATTACTTGGCCATAAAAAAATGAGTCTTATCATTTGCACCAAAATATTATATTAAATTAAACTGTGGCTCACGAGCCGCAGTTTGCTGACCACCGGTCTAGGTGAAAAAGGTGAAAGCGTTAAGAAGTACAAATTGGTAGTAACATGATCGTCACAGAGATTTAAAGTACAACATAGGGAATGTAGTTGATAATATTGTAATAACTTTGTATAGGGCCAGGTGGGTACTGGAAATATTGGAGTAAACACCTTGTAAAATATTTGATTTTTACTATTTTGTCTGTCGAGAATAATATGACCCCAGCACTCAATATGAAAGTTCATATTGACCCTGCCAATAGTCACTAGTATCATTTTTGCTGCTGTTGCTCCCTCAACCCCTGCAACAACAACAACAAAAAAAAACAGGAGATTGCCGAAACCGGTTTGGCTCAGTGGATAGAGCGTCAGCCTGCGGACTGAAAGGTCCCAGGTTCGATTCCGGTCAAGGGCATGTACCTGGGTTGCGGGCATATCCCCAGTAGGAGATGTGCAGGAGGCAGCTAATCGATGTTTCTCTCTCATCGATGTTTCTAACTCTCTATCTCTCTCCCTTCCTCTCTGTAAAAAATCAATAAAATATATTTAAAAAACAAAACAAAACAAAACAGGAGATAGCTAATAGCCTGGGTCCATAACAGTCTCCTGTCCCTTTCCAAGGAGTGGAGAGTTTTTCCTGGCCCTTCCCTTTTGGTAGTGGATCTTTACCTGCGCATTGGGGGGTGGGGCTAGGGGCTAGGGTTTGAAGCCCTTCTTTCAACAGTTTAAGACTTTTGTTCCTTAGGAGGTAGGGGACAATGTCGAGTGCCAGTCTTTCCTCCTGGTGGCAGCTGCTCCTGTCTGCCAAGCCTGCACCACGGAGGACTGCATTCTTTCATCTCCTGCCCTGCCTGCCGTCTTTCTCACAAGCAACTAGCCAGGTCGCTGGCGGGAAAAGCCTAAAGGGAGTGTGCATTTCTTGTGTCTGGAGCTTCCAGGACTTTGATGCTCTCATTAGCCCACACTTGGCCTTTATCAATGTGTTCTCTAAAATAAGCTGCATTTTTCGCACTTGCTTGCACCTGGTATGTCTTCCTTCAGTGCTCTGCCAACGATGTGTCAGTCTGTGAAGTCCATCTGTCCTTGAAGAGACCTTCAATTTTTCCTTAGCTTTTTTCCCCCCTTAGGTTTCATGTTAGTTGGTTGTCCTGATAACTCAGCTCTCTACTGGGCTCAAGAAAAGTGACATTTTTTAGATGATCTGGCTTGTTGTACTGCTAGGAAAGGAGTAACAGTCTTTCCAACGGTGGATATCCCAAACAGATTCCAAATGCTTCAAATCATACAGCTCCTCAAAAAGGTATTTTTGAGTAACTTTTCCTCACATGTCTATAATTTTATTGATAAATTACATACTTAAACTACTGTACAGATATATAAATTATGAAACATACCCAAAAATAAAAGTAAGAAAGAAGGATATGGGTACCTGCTTTTAATATGGTCACATAAAATGACCTCCCTATTTATTCCCTTTGGAAGGGACTCAAAATCAGAAAGGAGAACTGTGTTCTGCTGGGTTTCAAAGTCCATCTGTGAGCAAGGTCAACCCTGCCAATAGTCACTATACCATTTTTGTTGCTGTTGCTCCCTCAACCCCTGCAAAACAACAACAACAAACCCTTACTTTTTTATTCATCTATGTGTGTGCCTTCCACCTTTAGGATATAAAATTTTCATTTTTTTCCTGATATATATATATAGCTTCATAGATAACAAAACTAAATAAATGATCACGTTGATAAGCCAAGTTTGCAGAAAACAGTTTGTCTCCATGATAACAGAGAAGAAGGGAGCTTTTAATTTGTGAAAACAAGTTAGTCCTAAAATACTATCATTACCTTTGACCTTCCCCTGAAACCACTACTTGTTCCCTGGTAAACCAATCAGTGATGAGTAGTAAAAAGAAAACTAGGACAGAGCATATGCAAAGATACTATAAGAAAAAGGCAGCTCTAGCCGCTTTGGCTCAGTGGATAGAGAGTCAGCCTGTGGACCTAAGGGTCCTGGGTTCAATTCCAGTCAAGGACCTTGGTTTCAGGCTCCTCCCCAGCCTGGGCCCTGGTCAGGCACTGGCAGGAAGCAACCAATGGATATGTTTCTCTCACATGGGTATTTCTCTCTGTCTTTTCCTCTCTTCCATTCTCTCTAAAAATTAATGGAAAAATATCCTTGGATGAGGATTTAAAAAAAAAAAAGGCAGACAAAGAAGAGAAAAATCTAATAACAGATAAAGAACTCTCATTAGAAATACTTGCCAAAGTATAGGTGAAAGTTGTGACTAAACACTATGACTTTTAAAAGCTTAATACAGCAGTGTCATAAATTGTAAATGCAAGAATAGAGAAGAGCCCAGCAGGCGTGGTTCAGGAGTTGAGTGAAGACCTATGAACCAGGAGGTCAGGTTTTGATTCCTGGTCAGGACACATGCCTGGGTTGTGGGCTCGATACCCACTGTGGGGGGTGAAGGAGCCAGCAGATCAATGATTCTCTCTCATCATTGATGTTTCTCTCTCTCTCTCTCTCTCTCTCTCTCTCTCTCTCTCTCTCTCTCTCTCCCTTTCTCTCTGAAAAATCAATAAAATATACTTTAAAAATATATTTTAAAGAATAGAGAAGAGATGATAAAATGTTAAATAATAACACTCTGGAAAGGAGGAGAACTGAAAAATAAGAATTTAGAAAGGAAAAAGCAGAAATAGATCACAGGTAAAGAAAATTCAAAATATGCATAATTGGAATCCTTAAAGAAAAACACTGAAATTATGTTTTTGGGAAGAAGATGTGTGTGGCAAATATAAACATGCATATTTATATAAAAATATAAATGAAGCCCTAGCCAGTTTGGCTCACTGGATAGAGTGTCGGCCTGGCGACTGAAGGGTCCCAGGTTCGATTCCGGTCAAGGGCATGTACCTTGGTTGCAGGCACATCCCCAGTAAGGGGTGTGCAGGAGGCAGCTGATCTATGCTTCTCTCTCATCGATGTTTCTAACTCTCTATCCCTCACATTTCCTCTCTGTAAAAAATCAACAAAATATATATTTAAAAATATAAATGAAAAGATCCTGAATTACCAGAAGATTGTCATTCATATCTTAAACTATTAAAAGATTAAAGGCCACATTATGTAACAGGGAAATAGAACAGAATGATGATGAGACATGCCATTGTAAAATTATTTGACTTCAAAGATGAAAGAATAATTCTTTGGGCAATCTGCACATACAAGTTGAGGGGAAAAAAAATCAAGCTGTTCTCAGCCTTGTCCACAGCAGCACTCAATAGTAAGACAGTTGTGCTCTACTACTGGTGGAAATGCTGACTGGTGCAGCCACTGTGGAAAACAGTATGGAGGTTCCTTATAAAAGTAAAAATGGAACTCCGTTATGGTCCAGCAATTCCACTGCTGGGTACATATCTCAAGAAACCCAAAACACTAATTTGAAAGAATATGTGCACCCTAAGTTCATTGCATTATTTATTCATTATTTTCAATAGCCAAGATATGGAAGCAATGCAAGTGCCCATCAATAGATAAGTGTATAAAAAAAACTGTGGTACATATATACAATAGAATATTACTTGGCCATAAAAAAGGAAGTTTTATCATTTGCAATAAAGAGTAGATGGACCTAAAGGGTATTATACTAAATGAAATAAGTCAGTCAGATAAAGTAAAATACCATATGATTTCACTTACCTGTGGAATCTAAAGAACAAAATAAATGAATAGGCAAAATTGAAATAGATTCATAGATACAACAAACAAACTGGTGGTTGCCAGAGGGGAAGGGGCTCAGGAGTCTAGGTGAAATAGGTGAAGGCATTAAGAAGTACAAATTGGTAGTGACAAAATTGTCACAGAGATGTAAAGTACAACATAGGAAATGTAGTTGATAATATTGTAATAACTTTGTATAGGGCCAGGGGGTACTGGAAATATTGGAATAAACACTTTGTAAAATATATGATAGCCTAACCACTATGCTGTACACCTGAAGCTAATACAAAATAATATTGTTAACTATAAATAAAAATAACATTTAAAATATATTTGAAGAAAAGACAGTGGAGCACTACTTATAAGATCATATGGAAAGAACATACAAATCGCATATTCTATATCCAGCCAAAAGTTCATTCACATAAAAAGGAAATAGGTCAACAGTTGAGAATATACAATATTCTGAAGGATTTTATTCCCATAAGATTTCTTGACAAAACAAGTATTAGAGAACATATTTTGGTTACTCTGTAGACTACTAGAAACACAAAGGCACACATGGGCCTGGAATATATTTAATCAGAGAACCAAACTAAAACAATCATAGGGATTAGGGAGTAGAAAAGAAAATGCATACTACATGCCCTTATATAGAAATTATATAACTAATGAAAGCTGGAAAAACACAGAGGAAAAGGTCTAAGGAAGACTAAATATGCTGATATATTCGGCTACAATAGCTGATCAAATCATCAAATGTAAAGCTGATAAATAGAAATCTGAGAATCCTTAATAATGCTGATATAAACAATTAAAATTGGATGGCTGAAGAAGAAATAGAGATAAAAGAGATAAAAAGTACCCTAATTTCATTATTTCTCATTATAAGAGATAACAGATCCTGGATTTAAAAAAATAAAGAATCCTTAATGATGCAAGTGTAAATAAGTAAAATTGGATGGGTGAAGAAGAAATAGAGAATAACTAAGAGGTAAAGAAGTAGCCTAATTTCACTATTTCTCATTGTAAAAAAAAATAATAAATCCTGGATTTTTAAAAAATAGAGTACTGGGGGTACTATAAAAATTTGTAATTATAAAGGTAACCAGTAGAAGAAAATAATATAAACCTTCCTAAATCTTAGAACACATACATACTTACACACACACCCCAAAAAAGACACTTGTTAGTGAACAATCCTTTAATATCTTTAAGCATGAAAAATACAATAAAGGTCATAAGACAGAACCATTACCATGTAATACCCATAAATATAAATGTCCTAAAAGTCAACTTTTGTTTTAAAAATCAAGACTTTCAAATTGGATCAAATAGCAAAATCCAATTCTATGCTCCCTAGTACTACAGCTAAAACTAAGTGTTTGGAAAGACTGAAGATAAAAGTGTAAGACAAGGTTGTATTCAAGCCAACAAGGTATGAAACAAAACAAAACAAAACAAAACAAAACAAAACAAAACAAAACAAAGTATACCTTATAAGATTAAATATGAAATTCACAAAAAAGCAAATTAAAAGAGTTGTGCTTTGGTAATTAACTGAGCTTTATTTAGAATAGCCCGCTTTGCCATCAATAGTTTATGTCTGTTGCCTTGGTTTAACTTTTCAATAGAAATTTCTTTCACTCTTAAAATATCTCTATTTAGACAATAAATTATACGATCATCCTACATTTATTCAAGGAATACAAGGATGGTTCCTTATAAGAAAATATAGTCACATAAATGTAAGGAATTTCAGCATTGTGCCATGGGCATCATGATACTGCATATATCCTTTCATAAGCTCTTATAAGCCTCTGCTTTCTCAGCATTCGCTTCATTGACTTCACTCGATCACAGCTCTGACGTATGTTCCTTTTACAGGGTGCCCTGAAATGCTTTCTGGAAGAATTAGGCAGACTGCAGAAGAAGTTTTATGCCAAAGACCAACGGTTATGTTGCCCGATCAGGACCTACCTGGTTACAGCCAGGAGTGCAGCCAGTTCAGGTGCCCGAGTGCTGAAAACGCTTCGCCGCTGGGGGCTAGAGATAGATGAAGCCCTATTCCTTGCTGGAGCCTCCAAAGGTCCCATCTTGGTGAAAATACGGCCCCACATCTTCTTTGATGACAGCATGTTCCATATTGAAGGGGCACAGAAATTTGGCACCAACACAGCTCATGTACCTTATAGCATTACTCAAAAATGAACAATTAGATATGGGGAGGAGAAATAAAGCAGTGAGTCTGGTATTTCAGAAGCCACTTCTTGTGGATCTCTAGGGTATTTAGTTAGGTATTTCAGAAGATTGGACCTCAGTACTTAAGTACATTTGGAAAGGTTCTCTCTTGATTTTTTGGAAAACATTGTGAACCTTCAAGTTGCCTTCAAGCTACATCTCTTTGAGATGTCAATGCTGTTGAATACCATTGCACCTGCCTTTGTGTGTAAATCATGATGATGACGCTTTAGGATAAGTTTAGACCTTGAATGCTTGAATGCTTAAAAGGCTATGTCAGAAGCCTAATTGGTCTTACAACGCATTGCTCATTTTTGGATGTTGGTAAATAGAATAAATTGTTACAAATCATCATTATAGAATGGTGGTCTTCAAAGGGGGGAAGAGTAGGATTACATACACTTTTGAAAGTTAGAGCTTTTTTGTCCTTTGCCTCTATGAACAGCCTTTGAATCAATGCAAGTGAAAATATCACTCCACACGAGTCATTCAGAAATAAATCAGCTGGTTATTCATACAGGGCATTTTCCATCTAAGTCTAGCTCCAAACAGAACCTCCTAGAAAGGTTTTTTAAAGCTTGTTTGGTGGGTTTATTGCCTGTGAACAACATTTTTGCAGTCCTCTGGCTTTGGCCCTATTAAGCCTTGGCCATGGCTTCAAATATGGCATGAAGCGTAGTGTCCTGGACTTTCATTGTTATCATTGTTCTGTTTTCAAAAACATGATTAACCATAATCTACTACATGATAAGGCATGGCAAGCTGGATATTTTCATGTTACCTCATTTTCTCATCTAATCAAACGTGTGTGATATCATATTGTTACCCTTCTTTTCAATCAGTGAAGAACCTAAGATGCAAAAGCAGATTAAGTAGCTTGTCCAAGAACAGCAGCTAATAAATAGCAGGACTAAGAATCAAATTCAGGTCTTATTTACTTCAAATGCTATATATATATTTTTTTTTTCCTGTGTTATATAACCTTCCAAACTGAGTTGTTCTTACTGATTCCATGGCCCATCCTGAACAGATTAGTCATTCCATTGAATTCTATGATTAAGCTACACAGCAGTTACATAGCAGGTCTCTCTCCTCTCTTCCCCACTCCCTCTCATGTTCCTTCTACTCCTACGTCCATCTTACCCCACCCACATATGCAATTTCCACCCTGCCTCTAGTTAAAGATGCTGCTGGCATACATCTTTTGATCTGCTTCCTAATTTGATGTAAGCCAGTCCAAAATATACCAGTCATGACACTTAATGAGTACCTAGTGTTTTCTATGCATTCCCCAATGTGAAATCCACCAGAGAACGCAGACAATAATCCCATCCTTGAGGAAATTTAAAACCTTAACAGTACCATAGAGGAAATCCATTGTGCAAACTCAAACAGCCAACACTAGAGGGCTGTTTGTTCTCAGTGCCAAATGAGGGTCACATATGAGGTTGAAGCAAGTATCTGCATGGGCTGGCAGTGGTCAGGAAATGAAAAGAACTGAGGTGGGCTTTGAAGGACAGAAAATAGATAAAACTGAAGAGAGAGAGGAAACAGATGTGTTCCAGGCTAACAGAGTTTGACAGGGAGCTTCACATTATAGGAGAAATAAAGGCCCCGATCCCTTCATGATTTCTGTTCCTGGTGCCTTGCCTAATCCTCAGTGATCGTGCTCTTTCCCACCCCTGTGCTTCATTCTCAGCACTCATAGGAAACTGCTTCTGCCATTCCACCCCTTTTCTCTTTGTGTTGTGACTATCGTTACATGTTATATCCTTCACAAATGTAAAGGAGGGTAGGAGAGCTTTATTATCAAAATCTTACAGGGATTGATTTCAACTGTTCACATTGTAAGTATCCTCTCTCGCTCTGGAGATTCTAGAAGGGGGCTGGGGCAGCGGAATATTCTGCACCAAACAAGTAAGCACCCTATTCCCTGTGACTTTCATAGGGCCTAAGGGCTGGCACATATTAGGTGGGTGAGTAGATGGACAAATGACCACTTAAGAGTCCATTGGTCTAAAGCCACAAGTCTTTGAGATGGGTCTCTGTGCAATAACCTGGCATTTCTGAAGCATGTTCCAGGGTATAGAGCACTTTCCGTTCCATTTATGCATTTAATGGTCTTATGCAGGGGGCTGGAAGTGGCCTGCTCAGAAGTCCATGTTTACAGTAAGTGCAGGATTTTCCTACTGTATTCCTGCCAGTGTCAAATAAGGCCATTTGAGGATGCCTCCTCCTACAGGGGCCATATCAGAATTAGTCGGGAACTTGTTAGACATGCAAATTCTCAGGCCCCATCTTGAACCAATTCAGTTCCTAACTCTGGTGCCCAGGCCCCAAAATTTCAGTTTTTGTTGTTGTTTTTTGTTATACAAGCCCTTTGGGTGATTCTGCTGCGATGCTAAAGTTTGACAACCATTGGCCCATTCTATTTCCAACTGATCCATGTTGCTCAGTTCATGGCCTCATTTATTGGAGGTGGAGTGGGGGGACGGGGCGGGGGGCGGCGGTTAGAGCCCTTCCTTAGGCTTTAGTGGGCAGGGAAAATTCTCCAGAGGGTGAAACATTGAAGGGAGGGTTAACATGTCCCAGGAGCCCTTAACGGAAAACACGCTACACCATCCATGAAGTGTGAGATTTGTAAACCAGCCTATAGAGCGGATTGGCAATTCAAAATACTCACTGAGCATTCAAGTGGGGAAGGCCACCACCACCCAGGGATTGCCTTGGGGAGGAAGCCCGCCCTGTGAAAACCGGGGACTGTGCTCACCCAGGACTCTCAGGCTGGGAGCCTGCTTCAAGGAGTCACCAGAACCCACAGAGCAGCCCGATCAGGGGTCCGCAGAAGGAAAACTACAAGTCCCAGCATGCCCCACTCCACCCCTTCGGGGACAACAGGCCGCGCCCCAGAGTTCCTCGCGCACAGGTGGCTGCCTCAGCCTGCGCGGCTCAGTGTCGCGCTTCCGGAAGTGCGGTGCAGGGGCGGGTGGCCCTCGGCCCGGGCGGCAATGGCAGTGTCCGGCGTGGCGGCGCTATTGGCCGCGCTGGGAGGGGCCCTGTGGCTGGCGGCCCGGCGATTCGTGGGGTCCAGCGTCCCGCGGCTGCACGGAGGAGCGGACGCCGGCCTCATGCGCGGGAAGACCGTGCTGATCACCGGGGCCAACAGCGGCGTGGGCCGCGCCACGGCCGCCGCGCTGCTGCGCCTGGGGGCGCGGGTGATCATGGGCTGCCGGGACCGCGCGCGCGCCGAGGCGGCGGCGGCGGAGCTGCGCCGCGACCTCCGCCGGGACGGGGACCCCGGCCTGGACCCCGGGCTGGACCCCGACGGCGGGGCGGGCGAGCTGGTCGTCAAGGAGTTGGACCTGGCCTCGCTGCGCTCCGTGCGCGCCTTCTGTCGGGAGATGCTCCAGGTGTGGAGCCCGCGGAGCCGGCGCGGGGCCGGGCGGAGGGGCGGGCCGGGGCCGCGGCTGAGCCCGGAGGGTCCGCCCCGAGCCGGGGGTGTGACCTTGGGAAGGACGGCAGCGAAGAGGAGGAACGATCCCATGATTTGGGGGCGGCTGGAGAATCGGGAGCTGGGAGGGTTGGAAGGGCCGTGTCCCGTCTTCCCGGGAAGCTGAGCGGGAAATAGGCCCGAGGGACAGCAGGCCAGTGTGCGCGCCTGTCCCCGCGGGCGGCCCAGGAGGCCCGCCGGGGCCCCGCACGGCCTTTCCCGAGTCCAAAGTGCGTGTGGACCGAGCCGTCTCCCTCCGGGGAGCCGAGAGCACGGAGAGGCTGCTGGCCAAGGGCTTCGAAAACCGTGTCCTTACCCTCCCCGCGGGGGTAGGAGCTCGGCGCTCGGCCCCCGGGGGACTCGTTAGCACCACCCTCACCGCCACCGGCCTCATTTCCACATAAACTGGAGCTTGGAATCCCAGCAGCCGGCCTCGTGCTCGAAACAGGGACAGAAATAAGGAAATATGCAATACCTGGCATTTATTGGAAGGTGCCCGATGTGCCAGGAGCTTGTTCCAAGCATTTCAGATACTAAAAAAAAATACATTTATTTAATGAGATGCAAGCGCCCTTGGCTATTTTTTTGTCCTGGAATCCCCACAGTAACCCTGTGAGGTGGGCAGTGTTATCCCCATTTTACAACACAAGGCGATGCAGGCATAGGGCGGCCAAGTTGGGTGCCCAGGATCTGTCTCCAGAGCCTTCGCTTTTAACTCCTGTATTCCTGCTGCCCTCCAGGGACCGGGAGGATGTCTTGGTTTAAAGATGGTAAATTTTCCACTGAAGTGCATGTCTGACATTTGACATTGACATCGAAGGGCTTCCTGCAGAGGGCGCTGGGGAGAGAGATTGAAAGTTGGCTGGCATAGGAAATGGGCCTGTATGAAATGGAGTCAGGTCTAGAGCAGAGGTTCCCAAACTGTCCTGATTTTTTTTAATTATTATTATTCCATGATGCCCTGAGGCCAAAAGAAATATCTGCCATTTTATTTCTATTCAATAATTAAGTTCAAATAACCTAGTAAGTGTTGATGTCATAACAACGTAGTCACTATTTGAAAAAAATAGTATACATAATGAAAGGGGGAAAAAGAGATATGCATTTCATTCTTCAGTAAACATAATTACTACAGGGAATGTGTACCTGTTGTTCACTCCTCTGACTTTGGAATCAGATCGGACTTTGCCACCCTCATTTCTTGTTCCAGATTGGTTTTTAACACTGGACATGCACTTCATTACAGCAGCCGCTAAAAACAGCTTTGCAGAGATGTGACATCCTCAAAAGAGAGAGCACAGCGTAATGTTGAAGCTGTGAGCCACCTGAAACTAGTCGTTTTTGAGATGTTGAGCGGAGTATCTGTTGCCCTTGAGCATTTAAAATATTCCAGAGGATCCTGGGAGTTCCTTGTGACTCTGGGGCATCCAGATGCACAGTTTGGGAGCTGTTGCAGGTCTGGAGAGGTTGGGGGGAGTTTGTTGGTTTGTTTTTATGTCTACTTCATTATCAGAAAAAACAGGTTAAGCATAAGAAATAATACTCA